GAGAATGAGAATTGTCATTTGATTACAATATGCAAGCCTAAAAAATAATACGTTATAATAATTGTTTTACTAAAATATCACCGTTGTGTAGAATAATAAAGATGCTGATAAAAAAAAGTCAAAGAAGCATTCCTGTTTTTTCTCATTAATGATTATCTTTACAACTTATACAATAGCTTTCTATTTTTTCATATAACAATGAAGGCTTACATTGCTTTGAATTTTATTAACAGAATTTACAAAAATTATCAATTCCGTCGAAACTCTGCATTTATTAGTAAGGCAATATTACTAGGACAATTTTTGTTACAATTATTACTTGCTAATGATTTTATGAGAACTTGCTTCCGTGGATGAGAAAACATTCTGTGTTCGACGTGGTTCGACGCTTAATTTTTTCTTTTCGCAAATGTTTTATGGAGTAATTACGGAGCATAATGTTCCGTTAATTTGAAATTACAACATTTATATACTTATAACGTATGTATATATTAAATAAACATTACTTATGCATTATTCTCATAAACTTTTGTATAAGCGAACCGACTTATTTTCACTAACTGAATTTACCTATAATATAATAGGATAATAGTTAGATACCGTATGACATTTTTAAATAATATATCGAGAAAGCAATTAAGCAAGAAAAAAAAATTTATAAAATTCTGTTTTATTCAAGAGCTTAACATTATATAAGTACACATATCTACGTTCAAATAAACTTGTCAAATAGTTTACGCAAGTATGCTTGATAAATTTATTTGAATGTGTGTGACCTAAGTACAAATCAAGGTACAATATTTATCAACAGATTAATATAACATGTACATATACACATCTGTATGTGATAAATTTAATACTGTAACAAGAAATATAAATTTATAAAAGTATTAATTCTATCGTATTTTTTTTCTGTCATATGTAATATTATATTCATGTTATCACATACACACAGATGAATCCATCAAAAATATAATAATTTTTTCAAGTGACAACAGTATGTACAGAATAGCTACAGTTATTTGACACATTTATAAGTACTTTTAACTTATTTTTTTTGTTTAAAGAAAATTCTACTTGATATTATTTTTAATTATATAAATGCTTATTATGTTCAGTTTTTAACGGACTATAAATAAATAAGAGATCTATACTACATGGAACAATTTTACTGAAAGCTAAAATAAGATTTAAAATTTTCCTAGACAGAAATTATAAAAAATTATTTTAAAAATAATTTTTTGAAAATTTAAATTAGCTACAAGGATATCAAATTTTTTTGCAACATTGGTCATAGTTTTTTTAATTTTCAACATAATTATTTTGATGATCCAATAAAATTATTTTTAGAGATATCATTGTCTAATAAAATTTTTAATCTTTCAGCAAAATTCATTTTTTGTATGTATCCATATATATATATGTATATATATATACATATATATATGTGCATACAAATATATGTATTTATATCAAAGATTTACAGTTTTATTGAGCGAAGTACTGTACGCATATATATATATACACTCCCGAAAAATCACCTTCCGCCTAAATTTATATACATACATAAAACTTTTTAAATATTAATCTTGTATTAAAAATAATTTTTTAATTAAAAATATATCGTTTTAATGGCGTTAAAAATAACTTTAATAAAAAATCTTGTCATAAAAATAATTTTTTAATTAAAAATATATTATTTTGATGGCATTAAGGCTTGTAATCTTGCTTTATTTTTGACCTTAGAATTTTTCCGCTTGGATTCTTCGGAATATTGTCGACAAATGTTATTCCACCTAAAAGAAAAAGAAAAAAACAAATATAATCCTCAAATTTTCCTAAAAAAGTTTCTAGCTACCCAGTTCTTCTTTATCTTTAAGTTTTTATACCTAGTTCAATTGAATTACATAACGACTACTTTTTTCTTTAATAACTTGTGACATTTCTTCGGATATATAGATGATAACTATTCTAAAGACTACATGCAGCACTCTATTAATATGCTAATTAAATGCGTGGCAATTAGAAACCCCGCGATGTAGTAATAGTTGAAAGCAAATGAGTTATACCTCTCAGTTGTTTGTACTCAGAAACTTTTCCTTTTATAAAGTTCTTAATGTCATCTTCTGTGGGTTTTTTACTTTCCTTCACCACTACAAATGCTTTTGGTACCTCACCATACCTCTCGTGTGGAATACCAATCACTGCTGCTTCCTCCACGTCAGGATGCATTCGCAGCAACGCTTCTAGTTCCGCTGGTGGTACCTTTGACCAAACGAAAATAACGTTTTAAATTAAAGCAGGCAAACACTTTAAACGTCACCGAGAAATAAAGTACCATCAAATCGCGAAACTTTATAACTTTGAGAAGATATTTTACATACAACTGTTATTTATCAATAAACAAAGTAGCAAATGCTTTAATAATAAATCAAAATAAATAGAGGAAAGATGAGTCAATAAGAGTCAATGTGGATGCTTTCTTCGTAAAAAATTCCCAAAAATATTTTGGGCCGTTATAGTGTTTTTCCTATTTAAATAATTCTTACAATGTAAAGTAATAATATACAAATTATATATATGAAATAATTTATAATCAATGAATAACTACTCTATCAGATTTATATCATATTAGAAAAAAGAGGATTTCTTAAATTTATGTATAAAGCCAATGCTTTTTAAAATTATTTGTACAATTAGAGTTTACTTATCACGTATTAATAAACGTTGAAAGAAATATATGTCTCTTCTTATTCAAATAATCATATCAAATTAATTAAGCTGTAATTGTAAGATACTTTTTAAAATAAATAGAGAAAGGCTCTTTTTTGTGAAACCAAATCGTTACCTGAAATCCTTTGACTTTAATAAGTTCTTTTAATCTGTCTGTAATATAAAAATCGAAATCTTCATCGTAATAAGCAATATCGCCCGTTTTTAACCATCCATCCTCAGTTAGTATATTTTTTGTAGCATCTTCGTCATTCAAATATCCTTTCATAACATGTGGTCCTTTGACCCATAATTCGCCTGTTTGACCACTAGTACTGATATCCTTCTGTGTCGTTACATCCACCAAGCGTACTTGGCAACTCGCTATATTTTGTCCGATACTGGAATATTTCTTTCCATTTTCAATAAAGTCCACTGGTGAAGTTTCTGTTAATCCGTAACCTTAAAAAAACATCACAAACTTTAAATAAACTTGATACCAAAATAAATATTTTATTACATTCCGCCATTATTTTTTCTTCTTTTTTCTATTTGGTCATATTAGATATTTAAATTTAAATTTATATTTGTAGCAACAAAACAAAAAGATTAATAAAGAAAAATTTTAATTAACATAAGAGGCTTTAAAATGATTATAAAAGAATTTATATATGCTGTGAAATTCAATGACAAAATGAACACGACACAAAAATTACCATCTGGCACAAAAACAAGATTAACTGATTTTGCAATGCATTACTGACACGTTGTTGGAGTTCTTAAATCATCTCTGAAGCTAAAAGCAATTTCGTTGAATAAAAATTATATATGTTTGCATAATTGTTGAATAAGTTACACGTTTGTATCTAAATGAAATATAAATTTGTTTGCAAACAAAATAAATAGATTTTGTCGTTTAATAGTATTATAATTAGCATTTTTTTCAAATATGATTAATTTGTCAAATTTTACGAACTCGAATGTGCATCAAACAAGAGTAAAGTTTAATACGACGCCATTCTCGATGCAACGAACTTTACTCCAAAATCGATCATGCGCCGAATCGTTGGATCTCGTTAAAAATTGAATGTATACATCCCTCGTTCGTTCGAACTCACAAAACCCACAGATGCAAAACTCGCCCATCCTGCTCCTCTTCGGCATTTCTACTTCCACCAGAAAAAAATATATATCTGAGTCTTCAAAGCTCGTACACGTCGAAACACGATCCCGGAAATTCGATCCCGAAAAACTCGATAAACATTTCGTTCGCGTTCGCAGGTTGTTAATTTTGCTTCGACGATGGCTCGATTTTACAAACACCCACCTTGACGAAATTCGCAGATTTGTGAATCGACGTCGTATTTCTCGTAGAATCTATCGACGTCCGTTTTAGCGAGAGGCGCAGCGCCACTCATTATCGAATGCACATAATGGAAATGATGTTTCTTCACAAGAGGGGAAGCCGTAAGAAATAACACTATGGGTGGAACGCAAAACAGCGCGGTCACCTGTGAAGTGCCATATCGTCGCGAATTTAATGCTTTCATAATTTTTTGTTTACATATACAAGAACAATTAAATTTTTCTGTAATTGTTGGTATAAAAATATATAATCTCACACATACAAAAAGTGTTTTTTTACTTTGCATTAATTAAATATTTTCACACACAGTCGAGCTTAATTGTTATTCTAATATAATAAATTTGTAATTGAATAGTGTATTATAATATCTAAAGAGACTTATTTTTGAGCATAGCAAGCTATAAATTACCTTGTTTTTTTCCAATACGTCAATGAATGTTTCCGGTACAAATTTTGGAATAGTGATTATTTTTGCGCCAAAAGAAAGACGTGGAAGTATCAAAGCATTCATTCCATAAATATGGAAAAATGGTAATACGGCAGGTATTACTTCTTGATATGTATCTGTAAAAAAATAAGATATCTTAATATATAGGTAATAAATGTTTAATTATCGAGTGATTGTAGAAGATAAGAAACAGTTTCAAATAAAAAATTTTGCAGATAAGAATATCCGATTTTGCGAATATACATTTATAATCAACGTACAAATACATTAATTTAAAATTCGCAAAATTTAAAAAGCGCGCCAAGAAGGCTGGAATAATAGTTCGTTAAATAAAAGAAAAGGTACCTGTTGGAAACCGAAAGACATCGACAGAGGCTTGAACCATCATTATATTAGACACCAGATTGCGATGTCTTAACATAACACCCTTTGGTAATCCAGTGGTACCACTTGAAAATGGCAAAACCGCTATGTCATCGCAAGTTCTGTCCGAATTTACAGGTGGCAGTGATTTACCTCGCGTTATGAGATCCTGAAAAATTTTGCATGCTTATATTTATTTTTACTTAACCGTTTTCTTTTGTAATCCTTAAATATTGTCGATTCGCCTAAAATCTATTTTGATACTAACAGAAAAAGGTATCGAACCCTCTGGCATAGAACCAATCTTATCATCAATCACAATAAAAGGGGTTTCGTGTGAAAGACATGCCCTTTTTGCAGCGAGCACTGTAGATACAACCGAGGTGGAAGTGATGATTGCTTTTGCATTGACTTTTAACAACTGAATCATCATTTCCTCTGAAAATTTTTGTCACGTCCATCAATATTACAATACACTTTACCCCCACTTCCTTATCTTATTTTTGTTTTATCATGAGTTAAATATTTAATGTATTTTATATAAATCTCAAATAAAATAGCATGTTTAAAATAAAACGGCTTACCTACTGTATACATCGGGTTTACAGTAGTAACAATAAATCCGCCTGACGAGATTCCAAGGTAACTTAAAACTGTGTCCGGAAAATTGGGTGCCACTAGTGCTACCACATCACCCTTTTTGAGACCTATATTCCGCAAACTTCTACCGATATAACTTGTCGCGTCCTTGGCTTGCGCAAATGTGTATTTCTTGCCATTTATACCACATTCCTGCACAAAGCATGTTATAAAACTGATACCGTATCACATTCTCTCGTACATTTACCGTTTACGAAATGACCTAACAGTTAATTGCGCTTACATTTCGTTATATTTTCCATGTTTTCAAACATTCTTTCTTGATTTTTCCACGCACGAATTCCCCCCATATTAAAATTTGTTAAATAATTCATATTGGTCTGTTTGAAGATGACGCGATTAGTATTAGAAACGTTCTACGCACATGAATAGATTATCTATCGTTCATAAAATAGAAATCCATTAAATCAAAAAATTTACCAAAGCGATATGATTAGGATAATTTTTGCTATTATTCCAAACAAACTCGTGAATCAAGGTTTTCGGATAAGAAACATCTCCACTCGGAGACATAATAATCCTCTCGTTATTTGGTCCCGTCACAATTCTGGTTTGCTTCGAGGTCGATGCACGCCTTAACGTAGAGTTCAGAGGCCTTTTTCCTCCATCCAGTATTCGACTCAGCCTCTGAATACCACAAAATACGTGTGTTGCCATACTCGTATAACGGCACTACTAATTTATTGGTAATTAATTGCACAACTCGTAATCTGCAAGTGTAGTAATTAAATTAGTGAAGATAAAACCACATAAAATAAAGCTAGATTACAATAATTTTATATATCAAAAATAATTGTAGAAATGTTGGTATTGACAAAATAATATTTTAAGTTTTATATACATTAACATCGAATATTTTTATTGTACGTTTTATATTGAATCACATAGAAATGCATAGAGGATGATTTCTTTATTTTTTTAAATAATTATAAGAAATAATATTTCTTTCAGAAAAAATTTTACTACAGAAATGCTACAGGTATATGTAAATTTTAAATAAAGTAAGATATTTGTTAAACATGTATTGATATAAAATGTTAGGTTTAATATAATGTAAAAATTTAGTGTGAGAATATAAAATACGAGCACTAGTTTCGCAAATAAGAATCTGCAATTGTGCATTTACAATTGAATTACAGATGATTTGTGGGAAAAAAATATAGCGTATATGTATAGTTATTGTTGCACGCTCGGTAAATATTTTAAGCGTTATATTCATTTTTGAGAGGGCTCCTTTTACCTACAAATTTTTTGCCTACAGCACCTTTTGCCTACGTCTCTTTTGCCGACAAATCGATTGCCTACATGTATTATTGCCTACATCTCGATTGCTTACATGCACTTTTGCGCACAAATAAAAATTTTAGAAACAGAGTTACTTTTGCCTACATATATTATTGCCTACATGTATTATTGCCTACAAGTATTATTGCCTACAGTTCTATTGCCTACATGCGCTTTTGCGCACAAATAAAAATTTTAGAAACGGAGTTACTTTTGCCTACATGTACTATTGCCTTCAGCTCGATTGCGCACAAATATACAATTAAAATTAAGTAAGAAAATAATTTATATTTTTAGGAAATCTGTTATGTAAACAGTGGAGTATCAGCGTAGACAGTGTCCGCTTGGAATATTTTTCCAAAAAAATCTAACCCTAACCAAATTGTTGGTGTGAGGTAGCCCTCATTTCGCGTGGAAGGTTGTGAGCTGTAGGCAATAATGTATATATACAATCGAGTTGTAGGCGATCGAGCTGTAGGCAATAATACGTGTAGGCAATAATACATGTAGACAAATGTGATTTTATTTTTGAAATTTTTAATTGTGCGCAAAAGTGCTTGTAGGCAATAATACATGTAGGTAATAATTCATGTAGGCAATAATACATGTAGGCAATAATTCATGCAGGCAATAATGCATGTAGGCAATAATTCATGTAGGCAATAATCCATGTAGGCAAAAGTAACTCCGTTTCCAAAATTTTTATTTGTGCGCAAAAGTGCATGTAGGCAATCGAGCTCTAGGCAATAATACATGTAGGCAATCGATTTGTAGGCAAAAGAGATATAGGCAAAAGGTGCTGTAGGCAAAAAATTTGTAGGCAAACGGGGCTCTCCCTTCATTTTCCAACTTTAATATTTATACTTACTCAGCGATTATCATAACAATCTTTCATGTACTACAATGAATATTTTTATAACCGGTTATTTTATTCGATACAAAAATTACCAAAACAATCTCTAATTTCATATCGAATATTTCTTATCGAAATTAATAATTATATATATATGTATATATATTATATTATTAATTATATATATATGTATATATATTATATTATTAATTATATATATGTATAGATATATAATGACATGTAATTAATCCTAATCATTGAGGAAGTATGAAGGATAAAAAATTATAAAAGATCACAATAAATTCTTCTGACCTCGTTACGCAATCAAAATAAAAGGAAAAATATATAAATAAACTATGATGCTTATTTAAGAGGGGAAACTCATGTAAATCGAAATTTTTTCACATTTTTTTTTGCTTAAAAAATTAATTTATTATCTGTAGAATATGCTCCCAGAATTTTCAATTCCAAATTCGAAATATAGATGTCTCTGCAGTACATATAAGTAGAGTGTCCAAAATGGAGCGCAGGTAAAGGACGCACGCAAGAGCGCTCTTCGTTGGTGATTTTCCAACGGTTATTTTAATTATAACCAGTGTTCCAAGATTTATCGCGTGACGATTTGCTTCAAAGATATTTAGGAGGATACACACAGAATGCCAACAAGTCGTTTAATACGACAGTGTGGCGTTTGACTCCTAAATATCTAAACTGCGGTTGAAAAATTGTGGAATTGGCTGCATTTTTGGCTGGAGGAATGTTTAACGACGCCTACAATTTCATTTTAAATATAATGAATGATATGGAGTTTCAAATCGGCCTACATTGCAAAACCTTCGCAGACGAGCAAACCCACCACCGAGTCCGACGACAAAATCGCCGTAGCGATAACGCTACGAAAGAGGCCAGGACAGCAAAAAAAAAGGAGATGGCAGCTCAAATGGACGAACTGGCTGAAGAAGAAGGCATACTTTACGGGTCCGGTATCGCAGATTAAGCGTTATATTATGTAAATCCGATTAAACGCTATTTTTTCGTATCAGAAACTTCAAAGACGATTTACTCGAAAAGCGTTTTTTCGCGCGCCGTGCAATGTAGTTCAGCGAATTTTTCACGGATTTGCATGAAACTTTGCAGAAATACTCTTTAACTTATTGGTTATTGCATAACGTTCTCCTTTTTTTAAAAAAAAAGTTTTAAACATTACTTTTTACCAATTGTTTATAAATAAATATGGTACTTTTTTTTCAAAATGCTCCTCAATTTTCAATTTTTTTGTTTTTTTTTCTCATCGTCATGCAAAGCATTTTTTACACATTTTAACTGTAGAATTTTGGTTTTTTGATTTTAGATGAGATTTGAGACATGTAGGCTGCACGGCGCAAAAGTGAGGTCTCAACTTCCAGCAGCTGTAGCGCCGCCATTTTGGAATATTTTTGTCTAAAAAAAATGTGAACATTCCGTCAAACGTATCCTTTAATATGTACTTTGTTTCATTTTGATGTCTACTACCAATTTTATGTAATAAATTCTTGAAAAAACGTACGTTTACATGAGTTTCCCCCCTTAATATTTATACTTACTCAGCGATTATCGCAACAGTCTTTCATGTACTACAATGAATATTTTTATAACCGGCTACTTTATTCGATACAAAAATTACCAAAACAAACAATCTCTAATTTCATATCGAATATTTCTTATCGAAATTAATAATTATATATATGTATATATATATTATTATTAATTATATATATGCACATATATAATGACATGTAATTAATCCTAATCATTGAGGAAATATGAAGGATAAAAAATCATAAAAGATCACAATAAATTCTTCTGACCTCGTTACGCAATCAAAATAAAAGGAAAAATATATGAATAAACTATGATGCTTATTTAATTCGAGAAATTAACCATTTATATACATTAAATTATTATTAGATATTATTACCAGAAATAATTTTCAAAAAATTTTTTTAAATAATATTTACATATTAATCCATTCAAAAATTAAATTAAAATACTTTCCTCTATTTTTTCTTCTTGAATAGACAACTTTTATGAGTGCATTATTGATTGTATCAAAAAATTACATTAAATTTTACAATGCTAAAATAAAAACGCTAAAATTTTATGTTTAATAATTTCTTAGAAAAGTATGTAACAAAATTAGTAAAATAGGTTGTATATAAAAATATGTGAATGATGCTAATTACTCTTTACTTTCTAAACTGCTGTTACTCATTACTTTCTAAATCGAAATTATAATAGCTCTCATAATTATTTTAAAAAGATCCAAACATTTAAAATATTTTTAATTCATAGAGTAGATAAAAACTTACTTTGTAATTATTTTTATATAAGTTCTTTATGTTTTATATAAGTACCTTATATAATTTCAATATATTGATTTTATAAAGACATAATTTTATATAAAATACAATATAATAAAGATAATATCCGATGACAAAGTTGATGACATATGTATTACATGTTTCTGTTTCAACAGCTATGGGGGGCGTGTTCAAATTCCAACTCTAGTGTTCCCCGTATGTCATGTCATCTTTATTTAATAGTGAGATAAACAATGAGGATAGAATGATACCTGGGTACCACTTGAGTAGGAAAGAACATAGCCTAAAATAACTACGACCGTAATCCATAGTCCGTTCTTAATCTCAAGACTAGCTTAACACTATCTCGAATTTTGAGCAATGTCTATGGATTTCGCTGTATATTTTACGATAACAAGTAAACTTTGAGAATTTATCTTTATTTTTATATTCTCTACTTTGTCTACTTTGTTTTAAAATTCTTCTTATACAATGGATATTATTATCGGGAGCATATCTAGCTCAATTGATATGAATAGCAGATTACAAATGTAAACATGCTTACTCATCCTAAGAATTGAAAAATAATGAAGTTAACGACGTAGAATCAAAACATTAATTAATTGCATAACGTATAAGTTATTGAAAGTTTAAAAACTACTTTAGTTGCTTTTAATGCTGCCTTTTAACCTTAATATTATTGCTCTGTAAACCGATATGTTTATTATTATCAATAAAAAATCATATTTTTAAACATTCAAGTGATAAAGAATTTTTTATCTCTCTCTCTCTCTCTCTCTCTCTCTCTCTATTTGAAGATAAACTATCTATAAAAATTATTCATGTAAATAGTATAACTAACTGCAATATTTATTAAATACTACATATCATAACAGCTATTTATTTTACCAAAGTGATTACATATCATAACAGCTATTTATTTTATGCAGTATAATATTTGCATAAATTATAATGTAAAAAATATTGTATAAAAAATTTATTGTATAAAAAGTTAAAAATATTAAATATTTTATAATAAATAAACAATTTTGTTTATAAAAACGTTCATTGCTTTAGAATATTTATTTAATATAGAATTTGGCAAATATCAATATCAAAAAGATATTTGTTTTTTAATGTAGATAAAATTTTTAATATAAGACTATTCAAACATTAGTTTGAGATATCATAACAGATATGATTATCTTCGATATCAAGAAACTTTTAACACACACGTTGTAGTTTTATACCTTTCAAATAATTTTCTATTTTTAACACACAGTTAAACTTGTTGTTTCTATTTCATAACCAATAAATATCAATAGCTGTTAGCAAGCAACATTATTATTATAGTGACAAATGGTGTAAGAACAGAAGATTAAATGAATTTAAACGATTTTGCACTTACACGTATACATAAATATACATATATATATGTTTACATATTCATGTTTCATGTTTATGTTGACATAATTCAACATGTAAGTACGTTTTATTAAAAAAAAATTTTTTTAATAAATAAATCAATGCTCCTTTACTATATATTGAAACTTATTGCCTCTTTGTGTCTCGATAAAAATAATATCACACGTCAGAATACTGTTAACATGATGTTATTAATTATCATACGTTACGTTGCATTAAATTTCGCATACTTCATTATAACATGCATGCAGATCGAAGTACACTCGGTACGAAGTCTAGATAATGCTTCTATTTTGCTGATTACTATAAAAATTTACATAATTTATATTAGCAGATTTACATTTGCACAACTATTCCACTAGTTATGCTTACTTGACAAAATTAAATTTATATTATTTCAATCTCTTCGTCAGTTCAAGTATAAATCTATCGCTTCACATAAACACTACGTCATTATATGTACATATATATATGCTTGCGGAAGATAGTACCATATTGTTTGATGTTTTAAATATACAATGTTTTACGTAGAATTTCTCATATGATTTTATAATTAGTGTTTAAACTTAATTTACTCAATTAAAAATTAATTAAACGGGTTGATTTCGTCTTTTGACATAGCATATTTTTGTCACGAAGTTTATAGATTTAAATTGAATTATCTTACGCCTCTTGTTGTTCCTTTCTGAATGCAGTAGATTGCAGTCGGTCTATTTTTAGAAATGTTGGAACGCTATTTCATTGACGACATATCTCATGATGCTTTAACAAGAAGTGCAACGTTGCAATGTTGACACTCTGCAGCTGAAGATTTGCAATTTTGGCGTGCACATAATAGGTATTTCATTCACGCAAACTGAGCAACTGCTAGTTACATCGCCGTCGATCGGTCGTAATTCACTGATGTTTACGTGACCGATTTCACTAGTGGACTGTCAGGTTTTCTTCAGACGAAGAGATATTGTCTGACTCCCCACCATCGACTTGTTATACTGAAGGAAAGTATGAGAGGCAAACAAGGCAAGAAGGAAATGAAAATGACTAATACCGTATGTTGTGCTGTTACCGTATGTTGAACTGAACGTCATAATATGAAATTCATGATTATGAAAATATATTAACTGTTATCAGTCGTGTCAGTCGTGTGCAGCAATATTTGATATCTTGAATTTCTAAATGAGTTTTTCTGAAAAATAGTCTTTATATCAGCTTTAATAGTAGGTACAATGTGATGATACAACAAAAGAATTTTTTTAAATATTTAAAATATATTTGTAAAATATTTAATTTTACAGAAAGAGTATGTTAAAAAGAGAGGGATGATTTCTCGAATAAATTTTTCACTTTTTTGAGATAAAATTGATCCCAGAAAAATTAAAATCAACAAAAATACATGAACTCGTGATAAATGGTAAATGCAATGAAGCTATTTGATGTCGTAAAACAAGGTCATATAATTTACTTCTAAGATTTTTAGATTAAAATGTATAAATAAACCTAAATTATATTTATTTTAATTGTATAGATGTCAATTATACATATAAAACGTATTTTTACAATACGTAGTTAGTAAAAAATTTTCCAAGCCTTTATGTAAGATTTTACACAGAATTTTATAATTTAATATCTATTTTTTTTCTTAAATAATTATATTATTTCTTATATATTATACGGTCTTTTTTTAAAATTATTGTTTAACATTATGCCAACATTACTATTCCATCAGCTGTTAGTATGATAAGATATCTCATATGCATTACAGTAATATTTAATTACGATATACCTTTAACATCAGAACTATCTTTTTAACATTCAGTAATATTTAATTACGATATACCTTTAACATCAGAACCATCTTTTTAACGTTCAGCAATAATTAATATCTTAATGAATTCATTAATAGTTTAACAAGTGTAAAATTTAATATGTATCTCGAAATGCATTTACAAATTTTTGTATTGATTGATACCAGAGACATGATATTTTAAAATAGCGATAGATAGCACTTTGTGCTATACTATTTTATTTATTATTAATACGATAAAACAAATAATTTCATTTAATTACTAAAGCAATTTAATACTAAACACATAATTTAATACTAAATACATAATTTAGGTTTACTGTTACTCCAGTAATATAAAATCATATTTCAATTGAAATACAGTTACGAGCGAGCGTTATATATCTAGTTTTATAAATAAAACATGTTTTTAACTTCTTTGATAGTTCTTTAGTAGAGATGTCTGAATCTTTTCCTAAAACAGGTTGTACTAAATGTATTTATATTCATTTCATTTTTATACACAGTTATGCAATATAAATTATATATATATATTGCATAACTTTGCATAAAAATGAAATGAATATAAATACATTTAGTACAACCTGTTTTAGGAAAAGATTCAGACATCTCTACTAAAGAACAATCAAAGAATTTAAAACATGTTTTATTTAACTAAATATATAACGGTCACTTGTGACTAAACAATATAAATATGACACTAACGTATATGAGCAATAGCTAGATTACAGTTGCTAAAACATAGTATTTCAAATAACACCAAATAAAATTTAAAAAAATAAAAACATACGTGTTTTATTTAATTTTATTGTGAAGCATATTAGATAATCAAAGACATAAAATATTATATCCTATTGCCATCTAGCGTTATATCTAACGTAACGAAAAGTACGTTGCATTTACCATAATATGTTATTCGTACTAATACGTGCGATTTCTATACGTATAAAAATATTAAACATTTTAAGTTTCTTTCATCGTTATATTTATGATATTATTTATTTATGTCATTAATTATTTAACTTATGCGATTTGTATCCCAGACAGCACAGAATATTTATGATAAATATTTATAAATATTCATTTCTGTCAATTTTTTAAAATATTATATAAACATTTTATATATTTTTTAGATAAACTTAATTCGATTAAAAGATTAAATGTTTTATATAATAGTAATACTAAATATAAGTAAATATTTCTAATATATATTTTATGAAAATTTCTAAAATGTTTGCTAGGAACGTCATCTGTTTCATAGGGTGCAAACTAGCATCTGGTTGTACATACTAATAAAGGGAATGTTATTTTGTAACTGTTGCAAGTTTTCCTCGCTAAAATAGGACTATTTTAGATTAATTTATATTATGTACTATTTGAGATTGTCATTATTTTTCGCTATTATACTTTATGTTGAAATACTACTTTATCTTGATATCATATATGTAAACTCTATAATACGTGGACTTTATTTTATCGATTTTGTCTTTACCCTAAGTTAGTCGTTATTGTATTTCCAACGTTATTACGTCCGACTGCTGCCTGCAGTCGGCCATAATAAGCTACGAAGTAAAAGACTCGAGAATTTAGTGTGTACCTGTCTCTGACCGACCCATCCAATATATCAATTATAGGTCGACGCTTCTTTTATGTTTTCGTAGATCTACCTGAGACCTACACAAAATACTCAACAAAGCGTCTTATACTTTATTATTTATTCAAGAATATTTGCGACTTAAGTTGTTATCTTTTTCATTCGTTAGTTAAATAATTATATTATATTAATTTATTACAATATAAGTATAAAGTGCACGATTTTTTAAATAATATTGTAGATTTAATTGCGCATAGTAATATGGTCTTCATAAAACCGCTAGTTTTACAATTTCTGCGCGTTGATTGTTTCGAGCTTATCGAAACAGTAATGCGTCGGCGCATTTTCATCGACGCCGACGCCGACGCCGATGACGCTTACCAGGACCGTCTCAGAAATCTTTCTAGTAATATGTATTGAAAAATGAAGATTTAATATAAAATGAACAAAAGGTACCAAACATATTTATATTAAATACGATTAAAATTAATTATAATAATAATAAATATAACAATAATAATATAAAATAACACAATGAATTTTAAAAAATTATGTATTCATATTTTATTCTTTTTTATCTTAATTATTATTTCGTCATTTTATATGTAAATAGGTTTTAAAATTTAAAAAGAAGAATATCACTTACTCTTGCAAAGTAAATTAATATGCTATGCAAATTATTTTATAGAGATTGTATGAACACATGTTGCGGAAACAGTAATTAAAGAAAAAAATTTTAATATGCTGCTTACAATGATTTAATTAAGGAAATGTACACGAAAATGTAACAATGTGCGGATACGTGTCGAATGTGATTTTTATTTATATAGCCATCCCTAGAACTACACATGCCGGCACTGTTCCTATATGTATATGCTTGAAACCTGCGCCCAAGGGTGACGGCCATGTCGACGTGGACCCTGCAGTGCTCCCCCGTTGCAACCTGCATACACCTTCGGTTGGCGACTATTCGTACGAAGAAACGACCGCTTTTAGGGAACGGACAGGTTCATCTCAAAGCAAGTAATCGTCGCGCCGGATTACTCTTGCACGCAGCATTTGGGCTATGAATGAAGACCCAACCCTTTCACCTCGAGGTAATCATTCTCTATATATTTAGTGATATATCTTGTCATATTCGCTCGATGTGTCTGGGGGATTTATAAAGCAAAACTGAAGTTGCTTTATTGAAAAAGTTAAAGGATTATCATAGATAAGGATATACAACGACATGCTTCATCGTGCCGTGATTAAAAGTAATTAAAAAAATATTAATGTGCGTGAACGAGTGACGACGTTTTTATCGATCGCATTACTTATGCATGTGTACTTCAAGGAAGAGTATTCTTTGGTTGTATACATATATTGTTACGGAGTGTATAAGGTGGATACATCCACTCGTGCGTCACTTTGACGTTTGCCATTTATTAGTCGATCATAATACGGCCTTAATTAAAATATCATGCACATGAATAAGGAAGCTCTCTATATGTCAAAAAAAACTGTATTAACGCATTTTATACCTTTTGAAAGTATCTTACATAAATATAGAACTTGAAGAGTTCTCTCTTCCGTTTGCCTTGATATGAAAGGTAATCGATGTGCAACTCTTTAGCGGAAAACAATTACGAAGTTAAACTTTTTTTACCTTTTTATATTATGAAAGATGCATACATGTTTGTACACGTGTTTATGGTGATTAAGGAACGTTGTATTATCGTTAGGTTTTGGCAGTGTTGCTTCTATCTGTGATTCCATGGCCGGGTCCCAGCGTCTTTAAAATATCATGCCCCCGCGATCGAGCGTCTGTAGTGAGGAGGATAGTTCACAAGGTAAAAGAAAGCATTATACATATAATCAGAATTATTAATTAAAACTATGTAATAAATAGATTATATGTGAAAATATCCCTAAAAGTGAAACAATTTGATACAGAAATATGAGGATTATATCAAAAATAATAAGCAATTATTTTTAATTATTAATTAGAATTTTTTTATGTCACTCAGCATTATTAAGATCAGTGCTAGTCAATTAATTCGTGATATTACTGCAATAATTCAATGGAGTTTGCGTTTCAAGACCGAAAAATTATTTCGGTACACATTTTAAAAGACTATGCATACGTAGGCCCATATTCAGAACGCGCTTTTATCTCTAAAATTCTATAGTATGCGTAATGTAAATTATAGCATGTTAGCGCTCTAACATCGTTGTAAGCGCGTTCTGAATACGGGCTGTAATATATAAATTCACACAGAAACATATAAGTATTTAAGATTAGTCCATTTAGGGCCACTTTCACCAAGCTCAGTTAACTTAATCAATCTAGTAACTGTAATGAAATAAAAAGAGATAAAAATAGTTCTATCTCTTTCTATTTCATTACAGTTACTTGGCTGGTTAAGTAAATCGACGATGGTGAAAGTGGCTCTTAGATCGTTTAAGGCATTGATTTCTATAGGTTGTGTTCTTACATATAAAAAATTATTTTCGGTCCTATAAAAAATTATATCGTAGAATTTTTTTGCTATTAAAAACCAAGTACATCATTAAGAGAATTTTGTTTCCTACATAATCATCATTTCTTCGTACATATTTTTCTTATCGTTCTGGAAGTTTATATATTACCTTGCGACAGAATTTCATTTAGCTGCCCGAAACCAATAAAAACGTATTAATTTACTGATTCACTCTGTCGAAGGCTACATACGCGTGTGTCGACTTCGCGACTGGTCATAAAACTAAAAGCAATGGTAATTGGAATGTGCCACATCATAAATATAAGAGGAGTGAGGAGGAGTCTCTCATTACTTTTTATACGAATTTTTTCAAAGTAAAATAAGCGGAGTGGAGCCATTCGTACAGCATAATCATTTTTTTTTTTAGAAGAACGTTGGCGAGGCCAATGTTACGAGACAACAGAAACAGTACATGTCATTATCGATCAACTGAAACGGAGTTCTACCACAAGAGAATATTCAAACTTTTAAAACTATACGAAAAATGTTTACAAAGAAGTATGAGAATTACGTAGAAAAGTAAACAAAAGTCTGTAGATTAAGATGATGTGTGTACTTGGTTTTTTAATAACAAAAAATTCTAATTTATAAAAAATTGTGGCTCATTACTTTCGATGACTTTCATATTTTTACTTGAGAAACAAAGAATATATTTTTCAAAAAAATACTTTTTAAAAATCTGATAATTTTTTTTACAATAGTTTATTGAACTATAAAATTATAAAAAGATAAAAATTCAGGATAATCTTTTGAATTTTATTAAAATTTCAGAGATGGATGCCAATATTGAAGAAGTATCAGGTAGAATTACCATTGGAATGCCCGTTCCACGAGAGTCGAGATATTTTTCGGCCACAACAAAAGGCAAAGCATCAACACAGGCCATCACAATGGACCTGCGGCCTTTGCGGCAAGTCCTTTTACGCCGAGAAACATTTGGACGCCCACTTCGATAACAGACACAAGAGCAATGTTAATACGGTAAATCATACGTAAAAGATACAAATTTACATTGTCTCTCGATCATTGTAATCACAGTTGTTACCTTTCTACTGAAGATCACTATTTTACAGTAGATCAATTGTCTATTAAAACTGTCTTGGAAAAACTGTCAAAATTGTAGTTCTGTAATAATGCATCTCTCTAAAAAGAAGTTCTCAAGGTTTTAACTTCTTGCAATATTTTACTTTTGAAATTTTTATAAGCAATCGACAAAATAGTGACATCTCCGATAGTATAATGTGACGACCGTGATTGTAATATATTTTAAAGATTAAATAATTTAGTCAAAAAATATATAACAAATTGTTGGTAACTCAATTTTTTTTAATGTATGCTATATAATGTTATATATATTTTTTTAAAGATTCTATTTCTTAATTATATTTTTTATAAATTTTTTATTTTTCTTTCTAATTACTGCATAATCTTTATCTTGACAAAGTTTTCATCAATTTAGAAATTATCTTTGGTCTTTAATAATTAGTAATTACTACACAATTACGAATTACCAACGAGCCGAAGCTTTTTATCAATTTCTCAGAAAAATGCAACATCTAAATATGTTCTTTTCTTCAGGCAGAAGACGCGGTATGCCTAGCGGACTACTGCGACATTATGCGTTGCGAGGTGCTGGGCAACCGCGACTTCGAGAACTCGGTGGACGACGATGGCGGTCACCTGAATACCGACATCCAGGTGTGGCGCGAAAATACCGAGCAGCAAAAACAACAGCAACAGCGGCGCAGCACTTCTATCGTGCCCTGCGGGTCGCGTGGCCTCGCCAGGATGTATCCTACAGATAAGTCCTGCGCCATTGCTGGCGGTGGAGCGGTGACGAATCTGCAGCGTTACTGCCGTCGTGACGACCACCATGACGACGGTGATATGCACAATCATAGATTAGCGAGATCATCTTATCACAATGAGATCGCTGAAACGGATAATAAGAATGATTGCGAAGAGGATGAGGACGAAGAAGACGAAGAGGACATGGAAGACGAGGAGAATCTGGTAGAAGCAGCACTACCTGCCGTCGACAAAAAACAGAGACGGCGAGGACTGCATTTGAGAAAATTAAAATCCAACTGTAAGCCAGAAGAATTGCAGAAATTGAAGACCCAGTGTGAAGTGAGTTACTGCGAAATGACGTGAAGTTACTGCATGACCACTGCTGCAATTTTATCTGAGAGAAAAGATTTTGTATTTATGACTATATAATTGCATGATAAAATAATTATTTTTCGCTTATTTGTATTGAATATTTTTAGGTCAATTTTCTCTTACTATTATTTAAAATAATTAACAGCTCTATTTTTACATTTATTACTGTTATGTGTGTTTGTAATAATAATAATTCTATATATCTCTCTCAAAAAGTTCTTGAAGCTATAAATATAATTGTTATTACTAATATTATAGTAGTTATAACTATAATAATGATAAAACTCTATAAGAATAACTATAAGAGCTCTTAACTATAATTATTTTATCATATAATTATAATTATAGAAACTTTTCTCTCCGTATAATGTTTCTTTGACATATCTCCGAAATATTTATATCAGAATACATATTATTTTATTAAAAATAGAAAAATCCTGATGAAAGTTTGCGCATTGTCTCCCAATTATTGTAATACGTAATATATATTTTAAATATCAGATATTCCAATTAAGATCGAGTAGCCGCGATTTGAATAATGCGCGATCTTTTATCTTTTTAATATTATACGAGACGGGCACGCAAAGCGCGTTTACATACAAACCAATCTGTGAATATCAATAATATATAATAATCGCGTTTATCACGCGATCGTCAACAGATACTCGTACGCGATTGCATCGCCGGATTACTCGCTAATCTTTCTGTACGAGATTTTCAAGAAATCGAAGGTATGCAACTTGATTATGCACTTAATGCGACAGTTAAAGTTCTCTCATCAATTATGTACGTTATCGACAGGGGAGCTAAATCGAGCGATCTGCTGGTATCTCAGCTGTGATAGATATTGGGAGGACACAAAAAGACCGCAGCGTCACACACCCTGGTACCTGCTGACTGTTTTCATGCTGCTCCTGTTTTCGTCGATTTACGCATGTTACTACATAATCTGGGTTTGCTTCAAGTACGATAAATTTTTTAAAAACTCATAATTTTAAAAAAATGTTAATCGATTACATTTGTTTCTAATAAGAAAATTATCTTACACCGTCAAAGAAACCTAGACGTTAATATTTTTTTTAGAAACAGTACAGATGATATGTATTTGTAATTTTCTAAAAAAATATTTACGTCAAAGTTTCTTTAACAATGTAAGATGAATTTCTTTTTTTGATCTGTGTTGAATAAAACAATGGAAATAAAAGTTCAATAATTGTGAATTATCAAGCTATTTGCGAAATAACATCCAGCCCGGCTTTATATATCAAATAAATAACAATAATTTATTAATATTAATACATACGTTTCGACCTATAACTTGATCATTTTTAGTGATCTTATTTTAATTTATTCTATTAATCTCCTAATGATTTACATCCGAAGTCTTTCTTAAGTATCTATTTTACATATATGTTATATATATTTATATAATGATAAAATAAATCCGAGGGAATCAATTATCTTTGAATGTATACATTGTGCTCAATATCCTTATTTTAATATCTTGTCAAACAGTCTCTTGGAATTATTTCAAACCGTCCAATTCAAGGATGTATGATTAGGTTAGAGTCTACGCTATGATTAGATTTGAATGACGTAAGAATCTACGCATGTCTTACATCACTCGTTACATTAATGAAGAATTTATTTCTTTTCTATTTTTGTTGGGTGTAGTACCGCAGACGAAGATAGATTGGACGGTGGAAGCGTAGATTACAACGGAAGTACGGATCGCTCAAGTACTTCTCCGTTGCACGATCCGAGTATTCATAACGAAGGCAGATTGGACAGGCGAAAGGGCGATCATGGGGATGAGAATCTGCCCCTATCGAGCGAGGACATGCCCGATCACTATATCTACGTCTCGTATCCGCCCGAGCTAAAGCGGCGACTTCTGGAGAGGTATATCGACTCGCGCGAAAGTGTAGCCATGAAATGTATCCTACGTTAATTATATACAGTGATCCTCCTGCTTACAGCTGCTACAACAGGACCACACGTCTGTAAATTAGGAAGAAAGTGCATACGCGACGAAATTAAAATTTTATTCGGGATCTGCACAAGGGAAGGTATTCGAGGCTGAACTCCTCACTCTCATTTTTCTCGTTATCCTCGTGTTTTGTATACCGAATGTGAATAAATGCATCGTGGACACGACATCAACTGCTCGTTCCATTTCTCTTTATTCTTTTATCTTCTGAAAACGCTGAATCATCGTACGAAAAAAAAAACTAAGATATAGGTATGTGTCCAACATATATGACTATGATAATTATAATTTGTATTACATCGATGAGAATAATTCAATCAAGAGAAAAATATTTAATATGTACAAGAAACTTAAACCGCGAATAATTTATTGCGGAAATTAATATTACTTCAAGCGAGATTCGAATCTCTATATTATGATAATGATCTGGATCTCCACATTATAATAGTTTCATCCTTGATTGTGACAATTAAATCTTTTTTTTCGATATTATTTGGCAGATTTTATTATATTTTGATATTTTTATGTCGAGAATAGAGCTGATTAAAATACACTAACAATATGAGTGAGAATATATATATATATAATTCACCACAATATAATTTGTGCTTTTTATTAAAATAACATTTATTCGATAGAATAAATTATTTATTTATAAACATAAACTATAATATTTTTTTATATATAAGTATATATATCTTAAATAATTTATGAATCAACGACAAAGAGGTAGAATATAATTGTTTAATCAAAATTATTAAAAAATATTTAATTCAATTACAGAAAAAATTGGAAAAAGTTCCACTTTATTTTGACTAGAAGAGCATTTGGTTCAAAGAGTTTTGACTAGAACTAAAACCAATAAGTCATCTTCATAGTTCCGTCAGAATCGCGTTGAGTATCCATCACACTGGATTGGCGAACCAAACGGCGAATACTTGTCGTGCTCGGCCGTTGATGTTCTTCCAAACTGGATGAAGTAAACAACACTTTGGGTACTTCCTGCATCTCTACTGTCTCTCGCGTCGACAAATCCTCGTAAGAAGCCGCGATCGATGATGGTCTAAAGAATACAAATTTTAATAAATCAGAAGTCTACAATTCCAGAAGAAAAAATAGAGAAATTATATCAAGAATGTACAGAAGATGTCATCAAAATATAACTTCTAAATTATTCATTTAGTTTTCTACAAATTAACATAATTATTACCATATATTATTTCGATTTAATTGATATTTTAAGAGGAAATTTATGTTAAATTAAAATAGCTTTCTAATGTTCTATCTGAAATAAAATATAATAAGTGACAATTAATAGAAGTGCATACTTTGCTGGAACACAACGGATACAATCCGCGCATGTCCAATCTTTGCCAAATAATTCTCCTTCTTCAACCGTTTGTGGTAGACGGTGATGTAATGTTTCCGGTAATCGCAGTCCGGACAAGCCACCAATTATCGAGATTGTTCCCAATATGACTAAAGGCAACACAAGGTTTTCTTTCCCCTGCGAATCATGTTCACAAATATTTGGTATATTACAAAAATATAAATTATAACCAAAGATGAATGTCTACATTTTATCTTTGATATTTAAGATAATAAATTAAATTTATTAAATAATACATTATAAATTTGAAAAACTATTGGTGAATTTTATAAAAAGTATATTTTGTGGAAAATAATAATAAGAAATAAGAAAGCATTATTGAAATAAAATTCAAATATCAATTCCAACTCACGAGATATGTTACGAAAGGTATAATGATGAGTCCAAGGCCGCTAATATATGCGGAGAAGCCAATGGCAACTCCTCGTAACTGCGTGGGATAGAGTTCTCCGGCGAAAGGATAAATAATTAAAAATGACGCCGATATCGCGGATTTTGATATGAGAAATAGTATTAATGTCTCCATAACAGCATCTTGAATGAAAAGATAATAATTATAAAATTAATACGTCTTTTTTTAGTATTTTAATTTTAATTAATAAGTAAACTTATTGCTGTCAGTGATATCGGCACGTTACAAAATTAACTGATTATATCGCCACTCTTGCTAATTAATCAAGTCATTAATTAATTGACTAACAGTGCGTACCGGACGATAACAGCACTGTTGTAATGCACGATACCCCAGCTACGACCATGCACAAGCAAAGCGGCCATCGACGGCCCCATCGATCCATTACAACCCAACAAGCGATGTAACTGGGAATCTCGGCAAGGGAAGAAAACAGAAAACTCAAATGTTCTTCATTTCCCAAAGCCGGGCCGTAATAAGAAAGACCAACATACACCATATTATTGGCGAACCTAATCGCAATAAAAATTTATCCATTCCCGTACTATACAAAATGTTTATAAATTATCATGTCGTGTAATATCTATATTCAAGATATTTTATCTAGAGACAAGTCTAATTAGAAGTAAATTATCACGTTCAATTTATAATCAATTTCAATTGTTGCTTTTTTATTGATTACAAAGATAAAAATTTGCAACGTGTACTTATATGAGATATAAAAATTGCAGAAAAATCGTATGACAGATATATTTTTTTCTTTCTAATGTCTAATTTTTTCACCTCTAGATAACTTTGTTCAAGAGATATCTCCCAGAATACAATGGAGATATCTCCTGGCTAAAGTTATTCGCAATTTATCTGGAAAAAATTGGGCATAAGAGTACGTATTTGTATAAGATATATTCCTTTTTTCCGTCAAACTGCAGAAAAAGGGAGCACCCACCGACGATCTGGATCTTGATATATATTGTCAAGATCATCATCCTAAATAACCTCCAACAAGTTTTAGCCGTCGCTCATTATTCGTTAAAAAGTTATTAATAAAAAAAGTTTTAAAAAATAACGTCTACATATAAATCGGAAATTGTTCTAAATTCCACCTGCTGTATTCCACTTCTCCCATTGCCTAGTGGCGCACGACTTTCCACGCGAACACAAGTTCATTGCTTTAGCAGAAAATTTGGGTAAATATGTAGTTTAGGGGAGGGTTAGGATTAGGTTATTATATATCCGTGGGTATAATAACCTAACCCTAACCAAACCATGATCGTGGTTGGGTTAAGGTTAGGTTATTATATATCCATGAGTGTATAATAATCTAACCCTAACCAAACCATGTATCGTAAACCATGTAGAGTAAAGCAGGGAAAAATTTTCTGTTCTAAGAACAAAAATTATATAAGAAAATATGAAAATTGTGCGTCCCCAAGCAGGGGAGGGGGGAGAGGTAGGGTGGAAGTCGCTTCGCGTGGAAAATTGTAAAATATACTTTAAAACAGAAAATTTCTGTTTTATATGGTGGAAAAGGGATATCATACACGTTATTTCTTAAACTTTTTTTGTTAATAACTTTTTAACGAAGGACGAGCGACGGCTAAAACTTGTTGGAGGTTACTCAGGGTGATGACCTTGACAACATATGTCAAGGTCAAGATCGTTAGCGGCTCTCCTTTTTTGCAGTTTTACCTTTTTTCTAAGAATTTGGAATAATTATCCGAAATAAGTTTAATATAGTAACTAAAAAGTACAGAAGAAAATGTCACGAAAACTCCACGAGCAAAAAAGCAGAGATCATTAATACATGAATTTATTATGCTTCTGACGACTGTAAAATGATTAATTGCGCTTGTGTATGTATTTCAACTTACCAATTTAAAGTAATAAGACACGTTTTGAGACGCATATTTGGCAATTTAAAAAGCGAGAGTACACCAGGACCCGTTCGCAATCTCTCCTCCTCGCTGTTCGATCTCGACATCATCATACGCTGACGGAGTTTTTGCGTGAACGATGTCGGAAGTTTTTTACCATTTACATGGGCCAAAGTCTCAAGAATATCATTAGCCTCGCTTAGACGACCTTTCGCTAATAACCATCGCGGTGATTCCGGTAAGAACCTGTACAATGATCTCTAATCTTTCACATGAATATTTACATATGTATACACTGTAAAAAGTAAACTGCTAATTTTAACTTAAAGACGTATGTGGACTTTTCTAAGTATGCAAAAATGTCAATTTTAATATTTTTGCACGTCTCAGAAAGTGCACGTCTATACGTTTTTAAGTTAAAATTAACATTTTATTTTTTACAGTGTATGTACAATGCCCCAAATAGCAGATAATATTTCTAAAATATTTACGAATGATTTTTGTAAATATTTCACTCACCACCAATAAAAAAAGTACATCAAAAAAGGCATGCTTGTGGTCATAGCGAGCGTTCGCCAATCGCGTATTAAATAAGTGACACCTGCCAGCATACAAAGACCCAAAGTATAGAAAGTACAAGTCATAACCGTTACGAATGAACGATAATTTGGGCCGACCAGCTCCAAAGCTACAAAAATTAATTTATAATAAAACCTAAACTCAACTACAAGTGCCGACAGAGCTGAGATAAAATATTTTAATATAATAAATTAATTTCAGGAAAACTAACTGATTGTAACATTTAAATGCTTACATATAATAAACGGTATCTGGTAAATCGCTGGTATTGTCAAACCAACGATAAAGCGTGTAGAAGCCCAAGTCCAAAAATTGTTCGAAATTGCCGTTAAAAAACCACCGATTATTAATGTCGCCAAACACGTAAAGAATGATAACCTGCGACCGATTCTATCAACAAGATAAACAGATTGCTATTTATTGCATGTAAAGGAATTTATTGCCTATTTTACATAACAAAATAAAATTCTATAGTACAATAACAATATGATACGAAATACAGTAAAGTACAAGACAAGCAAAAACGAATGTAGTAAAACAAAGATACAATTTCGAATAAATTTTAATAAATTTTTACACGTATTTGTCTACAAAAACAGAAAAGACAATACGTAATTTCTTTTTAATTAATTAAAAAGAAATTACGATCTAATTAATAATTAAGCAAATCAATAAGTGTTAAATTTCTAAAAATTAAATCTCCTGAATTATCGTTTACCTGTCATTTAATGTACCGAACAGATACACTCCTATAGGGCCTCCTGCATTAAGAACTACCAAACCAATTGTTGGATAGATCGCAAGATCGCACACGAGATTAAACTATAACATGATTTTCTAATGTAATAAAGTACAGCATTTAATCACGATATTTTGCTTCTTTTGTTAAAAAAAGTTTATTCTTGTATTTTTTGAATTTCTTCAAATAAAATATCTTGTACGTATATTCGTAGAGAATCGTACATTCATAATCAAATTTTCTATCAGAAACGAATAAAATTGTGTACCAAAAGTCTGAAGTTTTGAAACTTAGTTCACTTCTAAAAATTTAATGTACTAATAAATTTATTAATTCATAAATTAATTTCGTTGCAGATTCGCTGCAGTGTAAGACAGTAAGCTGTACTAATGATTTTTTTTGTACAATTAGACAAACGTACATCGATGACGATGGACGATGTTATCTCCGAAGTTTCATATTCCCAGCCGTGATCGCAAGGTATGACAGACCACGACGCGTTAGGCAAGTATGTCGCCACGACAGAGTAATTCTCCATCGTTGTCCAGTCGATATCATATCTCATGCACTGGCTGTACGTCTCATTGTCGTCCTACTTTTACATAACATTTTTTAACATCTGACTATGTGATATCACATGAATAATACATTTGCTACGAATTGTAAGACATAATCGATCCTACCGAGCTACATCCGATCGTATGATGAAACAAATAGCAGCCTCGCCTCCAGGATTAACACATTCTATTTTGGGTTGCTACAAAATCTCATATATATGTACAAACGTTGTGCTTACAAGGACAACGTTGTGCTTACTTTTCCAACTGCTCTTGGCGCAATCAATGCGTTCTACACTTACACGTTGTAAACATCAATTTATCCTTGTTGTCTGTCAAATGTTAAACGAGGACAAATGATGTTTTCAAGCACTGTAAGCACAAAATGAAATACACCCAAAGTAAAAGCGAACTATAAATCCAAAATTAGCTTGCTTCGTTTGCATAAGTTTCTAAGTACCGCAATTAAACAACATTCAATTTGCAACTAAATTATGTATGTTGCGATTACTCAATGAATTATACGTGTACAGAGAAAAAGACAAGTCACGAGGAGAACGCAACATTGAAAGATAAGAAAATAAATACATGGAATAATAACTAGCGCTATCATATCTAGCGCTAAATAAGAAGATACGGCACAGTGTAAAGAGCAGCAGATAAAGAAACGGAAAATGACGCATGAACATGTAATGGGCGTCTTTACGAATCGACCTAGAAGAGCAGGCTCGCATAAGCATCAACCTCGACATCGTGTTCTTTTACACCAGCGCACCTGGCTCGCAGGAATGGCGAGGCGTTTTCTGCGAGCAATGTCCATGTTTTCCAAACCCGGTACCTTGCACCAATGCAACGGCGTGTCTGCCATGAACAATTGATTAAAGGCACAAAAACCGCACGGCAAACACGCCGGCAAGCAGACCAACCATAGCAACTGCTTCTGATAACGACCAAACTCGCCAACAATTGGCAAAAGGTCGTCGAGATCGAAGTTATCCTATGAAACATTTTATACAAAGCTATTCGCAATCAAATAGCACTTCTAATTATACAATATTCTAATTATACATCTTATCGCTATTGCTTTTTATTATCTGTTATAGATTTCTTGAGCAGAATTGGCAATATTTTTATTTTTAATATTATAAGAAAAGTATAAGAAAAATTTCAGGAAAAAACAAAATACGAATTTTTTTCTATCCAAACTGATATAGAATCCCACTCACACATATGTATATCTTTAAAAAGTCATATGAATTAGTTGTGTCTTTTATCTCATTAAGACATAATCGCATCAAGATCTCTCGAGAAATTTGTGATTCAAATTGCAGTAAAGTTAATTAAAGAATAATAATTTAGTACTTGTTGAACTTTTCACTTTAATATAGCTAGATTTGTTTTCAAAATTACTTTAATACTAAGCCATGTTTCATAAAACATTTTAATCCTGTTTTAATAAGATTTTAAAAACATATCAATAAGTTTATGTATCATTTCGATAATTAGCGAATAAAAAGTTGAATCAACTTAACGCTATCTTCAATATGAATTTTCGCTTTCGTTAATTCGGTGCATAATCGAAATAAGAGACATAAAAGGATGTCGTTCAAGGAAGCAGATGAATAATACTTACATTAGCTTCCGCGACTCCGGCATTATCGGCTCGCGTCGAGTCACCATTGTCCTGTCGCTCCATTTCGGTAAACTTCGACCTCGTCCCACGTTACCGAAAGCCTCGATGATACCTTACAAAGGCGTCACGTGATGTGCATTAGCCTCCATCCGTGGACGATTTGACCGATGCGAAGCGCGTTGCATCGTTTCTTGCCCTTCTCCCTCCGCAATAAAAGCGTAAGAGTGACTTCTCTTTCTTGTGGATTCACAAAAGTGCGCCATGCACCTCAATGATTTCAGCACTGACGGCGATTCGCCGCGCTGCGACTTCTATTAACAGGACACGGATCCAAAATACAAGAACACCAGTGAGTTCGAGTATTCTTCAGTTGCCGAGTTTATATAATATTTGATTTTTAATAATTTCGAAATTGTTTATCGGTTATATATCTAAAATAGATTCTTAATCCGTTTTCCAGTTTTCACGTTTAATATTCAAAAGATACGGAAAATGTATGGCCTGTTTTAATTTTTAAAAAATTTACGGCAAAAGAAAGATATAATTAGTTCTTCATAATCAGGATTCACACAATAGATCGGATGACGAATGATTGGCGAGAACTGTGAAACACAACAAACGTTGATTGTGCTTCTTTTGTATAACGCAACCGATGCACCCCAGATATATTAAGTTGCATAAATCCTCTCAGATGAAAAAAAAAACGCGAATTTATGATTTATTATAAATAATAACACTGATATTTTGATTAGCTGCACGCGCACGTTTGCACTGTTCGAAAGAACGTATCGGAAATACAACGAACGGGTGGTTAATCTGTGACGCGGGGTGTGCTCTTCTAATTCAATTAGATTAAAGGTATTTAGAAAAGATTAAGAGTAACGCTGACACGCACATGCTGTTACGAACGCATGATGTCAGCGATCTGATCGCCTTTTCATCCCCACTCCATCTGGATAGATGGGATTTTCGTTTCCATCGTGATATAAATTTTTAATTTCATTAAAAAAAAAAATCCTTAGATCATTTAATACTGAATTCTCTCTGGCGAGCGTAAGAACATAAATAATCTGAGGCGATACTTACGGGACCTATTATAAAAATAGTGATATAAAATAAAAAATAAAATTATAATTTTTCCAAAAATACTCTCGCGAAGAAAAAGTGAAAAATACGCGATAGGTGTAAAACTGAGGTGTTCGAGAAAGGGCAGTGACACATTTGGCTGTACTCGATGTATTTGATCGGCGACTGTATAAGTAATAATGCGTATCATCGCGTGTAAGTAGATTTCAAATGGAATTTATTTTCGGGCCATCATGTTTTTCGTGAGAGAAATGAAAACTATGAAATAAAAATAGGAAGCAATTCGCAATTTCTGCCGATTGAATCTCGTTTCTTGATCTCGATATTCGCATTCCCGACTCGCGAGCGCTTCTCCCGCGTTTCGAAGCTCGCTCGTGTTTACGAAGAAAGGCAAATGAAATCGGTGAAGAAACAGCAGTCGAAATGACTCGATATTATATGGCACTGTCGCTTGGCGATTCGTATAATCTTGTCTCTTGCACTCAACGGTACAGTCAGCCACATTAATGTCTTAAGTGATATGCAAATCGAATTGTTCCTGTACGATGCAACGTGGATGATGCATCCCCGTGCATCGAGGACGTGCGAGCGCCGAAAAGAACGTCTTCGCCGCCTTTTACGCGAAGAGTTACAATATTGCGTCGCGATATTTCTCCATGTGTCGTAAGGGCCTTGTGGAGCCCGCTAATCGAACGATCATTAATGTGACCGATTATACGCTAGACACACTTTCCGAAGAATCGTCCCCCAATCATTCCACGATCGCTCTGGCACTCACGTAAGCGATGTAGCCGAAGTCACATTGTCGTTGTCAATTATAAATCACCACAGGAAACACAATCCTCGCAAGCACCACACGACTGACTCGAAACGAATAGAAATAAAACGATAACGCGGTGCATTCAATTCTCGCACCGCGTTGATGTGCCGCACCCTCTCCCATTGAATTCCGATTAGCTCCTTGCGACCGTCAAGAGTAGAGCTCACGATCAAAGAAGCAAGTGAAGGAAGAAATGCACGTTCTTTAAAGATCGGATTATAATTGCAATGCTTACGATCGTCCACTCTTCTAATTTTCGGACACGCTGGTTAAGTCAATAATTTCATACGAAATAGTAGATTTTGATATTTTTTTTTTTTTCTAGATGAAAGAGATCCTTCAAAAAGACAGAGAACACTTTGTTTGCGCGAATCTAAGACTTAGATGGAGTAGACGGCAACTTTGAGTGAATATATATCCTATATATTATCAATTTTAAAATTGCAAGTCAAACGTGAACTGTTTTCAAATTTTAATTTAAAATCCATAATTTAAAACTGTACAAATGTATTGCCTTCATTCACTTGGCTCTCTAAAATTTCGGGATTTACTTGACGTTAATTGAAATTCCCGAGTAAATGCTCCGTACAGTCTGAGATATTGGTGGATCTTCATTGAAATTTTAGTATTCTTATCGAGTATTCTTACCCAATCACGCGATATTCAATATCTAATTATTATTCTATTATATGTTGATTGCCATGCTGTGCAGTCGCGAAAAAGTCTGCGATAAAAATGTCTTTATGTCATAATACGTAACATTTAGTTGACGTGGCAGCCAGTAGATTATGTCAACTCACGCTACATTAAATCTGATAGCTTTATGTTCCCTCTCGCAAATTTCCCTTAAATATACAAAATAAAATCTCTTCTGTAACATCACATTTTTCTCGAAATAGTAATTCTTCTCTTTTAAATTATTCATCCGTCAAAAACCGTTAGATGTCGACAAGGCGCGAACAAATTTGGTGCTTTTCCCTTAGCTCGATACCGATCGCAGACGCAAAAAGGGGCATCGAGTTGAGCAAACATTAATGATTACGTCCGATCTGCGAAGGGAGATCACGCCGTCCGAAAAATCAGCGATTAAGCGAATTGTCCCCTCGCATCGCGAGAGTAGGCCGTGATTTTTGCTCGTCGCCTGTCGTCCTTATCGCGACACGAAGGAGCCTTATCCTATAGAGATCGGCGGATCGAGCGCCAGGAGATTGCTTGGAGGAGAGGGTGGAGCAACGACGGCAGGCGGACGTCCACATCCAGAATCGTCCCCTTTATTTTCTTCTCTCGCTTCACCCACGCATATATAGGTCGCCCAGAAAACACATTTTCTTCCCACCACGCGTCAATTATAATTAGCTCGATCCGATCGTTTTTCTCGATCGGCAGCAGCATTCGGCACTCTCTCGCGCAGCGCACCAGACGTCATTCACGCACGCAACTTTTTTTTTGTTTTTTTTCTCTTTTTTTTTTTTTAATTAGTTCGCCCACTTCGTCGCGACGGTGACGTCACTCTCGGCATTCCGCCCCGGAAAAAATGTTGCGAGTCGCAGGGAGTCTCAGCGAGGTCGTTTTAACGAGACGAGAGATGTCGGTATCGCGACGATTTCGCGGAAACGAGAGATCCACTGAATTTTATCTAGACTTGACAGACGCAATTTTCTTTATTGCTACGGCACTATTGGAATTTTTATTCGGTACAATACGTTACAGTTAATTACTATGGAACACGTGATTCTTAATTGACGGAAAGACTGCAGCATCGATAATTCTTCCCGGAAGTAGCGTTCGCATGCGATGCAATGAAAGGACTTTCTCAATCGCAACTTCTGCAATTTAAAGTACAATCGTAGTTCTCCAAGTAGAGTACTCTTTTTCGGCAATATCGTCGAGAATAAAGAGGAAAAAAATAGGAATACTCTCGCTTCTACTCTCCTGCGATGCACTCGTCGCCACCGCCGCGCGGTTTCAAGCATCGAACAACAGATCTACGCGTTGGGCTCGTGTTTCGCGACTCGATCGTTAAAAAATATTATCGAAAATATTGTCTCGTACGTACAAGAACACCGCAGGCGAAAGGCGAATCGCGAGGACGCTCGCGAGCCCGTGGGATCACCTGGAAACTTCCAGAAACAGCAATATTGTACCGCTTTTGATGTAAGGTCAGTTGTTGTAATCTGATGTTGAAACCCCCCCCCCCCTCCCCCTGTCAAAAATGTATTTTAAAATTAAAAGATACTAGATGCAGTTGCAACAAGATATGAAGGCAGTCGTAAAGAGAGAAAGATGAATACTGTCGAGCTCTTTCTCTTCCTCAGGTATTTTTAAAAATACTCCATTATAATTTTTGGATCCAAAAATATACATCAGTATATTAGCTATATAGAGATTAGTATATTAATAATAATAATATATATAGTGCGCTCACATTTTCTCAGGAATGAAATTTTCCATCGATCCCGCAGGCCGACAAGCGGCGCGATCCGGCCCCGCCTCGCGATACAAAATTTATATTTACTTTTACATATTTGCTTGGCCTTCTGTTACTCCATGCATCGACGATCCGTTCTCTCTTCTCGAACGTGACGCCGCGATTCACGACGAATCACGAGCCAACCACATTATCATCAACATCCTCATCATTATTATCATCCTCAACATCAACATCAACATCAACATCATCAGCATTATTATCATCACCATCATCTTCTCTCTCCGATCCGCTCCATCAATCATCATCGACGCATCCCTGGTAAACTTCCTTACTTACTTCACAGCGCACATCATCACTGATACAGCGTAATGCACACGACTTTTAAATATACTACGTAAAATACGCTCATATCACGTACGTTCGCTCTGGTAAGCATCGCACGCACTCTAGGAGTCTCGACGATGAAAAGGCTAAACAACTAATTAGTCGACAAGATAAGTCGCTTTGTCGTGCTATTATAAGTTCCCCCAGGCTGGCTTCGCATGCCGACGAGAAATCCTCGTGTCATCACGCACCGAGGATCTTCCGCTGCAAGGACATGTTACGTCGCTTCCTCCGGATCGTCACGAAGACGTCGTTACGGCGGAAAAATCTATTGTTAAGAACGTAGGCTTCGCGCGAATATTTTGCGATGACTTACAGTCTATAATGATCTTCTCACAGAGC